AAAATTTACATAACGCCGCCCAAATGTTCACGCAAAGAAAGAAGGCGTAACTTTTATTCTCGCTGTAGTATTGTTGTTGCCGCCACCATGTAGTGAAGAGCTGTGTGCTTCGTTGTGAAAGTGAAACTACTTTGTTTGGTCTTCCAAAAGAGGACGATATCCACTTCGTCATGCTAGAGCTGATCTGTCCTGGTCGCTGAGGAAATACATCATCGCTCATTATCCAGCAGAAGACGGGTATGTGACACATGATGTGGAGGCTTCTTGATCTTCTAATGTGTGAGACGATTCTGTTGGCTTGATGCTCATCACTGATTCTCTTCCGGAAATATTCTTCCTTCTGAGAGTCATTGAATCCCTGAATTTCAGTCACACGGCTGATATAGTTAGAGGGGATCTGATGAGGTGATCCAGATAAGAGCAGAGGGAAGCAGCTCTCCTTTCATCAGGTTTGACATCAGAACACCCACTGATGAAAACTCATTCACATCAGAAATTTTCTCAAGTGTCTAAAAAGAGCGAAATTCTACTTTCAAAGATTAACACCACTTTACTCTGAGCATAAATCTTGGAGACCAGATACTGAAGCTCAGATAGTGAAGACTATACCACTGCTCTTTAAAGGGGTCATATGATGTTGCTAAAAAGAGCATTATTTTGTGTATTTGGTGTAATGAAATGTGTTTATGTGGTTTAAGGTTCAAAAAACACATTATTTTCCACATACTGTACATTATTGTTTCTCCTCTATGCCCCGCCTTTCTGAAACGTGTCGATTTTTACAAAGCTCATCAGTCTGAAAAAGCGAGGTGTGCTCTGAATGGCCAGCTATCCAGTGCGTTGTGATTGGCCGAATTCCTCAAGCGTGTGACGGAAATATTACGTTACGTCCCTTATGTGGCCTGCGGCAACCACATGTGATGACCCCGGGCTGGACTCCGCTTCGTCCACGGTGAAAGCCGATCCAGTGATCGACAGCGCGAAGTTGAACCCAAAAATGAAAATTCTGTCATTAATTACTCACACTCATGTCGTTCCAAACATGTAAGACCTCCGGTTCATCTTCGGAACACAAATTAAGATATTTTTTATGGAATCTGACAGCTCTCTGACCCTCCCATAGACAGCAAGGGTACTACCACGATCAACCACACGGATACGTTTTCAACGTTGTTTGTGCTTTGATTTGAATGAAAACAACGCATCAGTGTGGTGCGGCTGACACAGAACAACATACGCTGTTTGTGTTCAGTACTCTCCAAAATGGCGCTACGGTGACGCGGAGGAGACGAATTGTTGAACAAAGTCTTTTTTTTTTCTTTTGCACACAAAGTATTATCGTAGCTTCATAATATTATGGTTGAACCCCTGATGTCACATGGATTATTTTACCGACCTCCTTGCTACGTTTCTGGACCTTGATCGTGGTAATTACATTGCTGTCTATGGGAGGGTCAGAGAGCTCTCAGAATTCATCAAAAATATCTTAATTTGTGTTACGAAGATGAACAGAGGTCTTATGGGTTTGGAACGATATGAGGGTGAGTAATTAATGACAGAATTTAAATTTTTGGGTGAACTAACCCTTTAATCTCTTGAAATGGAAGGACAAACATGAAATTTTCATTGTGATTGGCTTTTCCATCAGCCCAGTCCAAAATGAACTTCTGCACAGAGACTGTTTTTCCAATTCCATCGATGCGAAGGGTCAAAGATGTCATTACAGTAGATTGGAGTGTCTTGTGAGTGTCATGTTTGGGTGTTTTCTCCATGTGTATAACCTCATGTTCTTCGTTCACCCCTTCATGTTCTCTCTCTATAATGTACAGCTGTGTATAAATCATGTTCAGTAGGGTTTGATTCTCTTGTATTTTGAGTCCCTCAAATAAACTCTCATACTTGGTCTTCATGCTGATTTTGTGAATCTCTTTGACTCTTTGTAGAACGTCATCCACTGGTTGGTGAGAATCTTGTTGCATGTCTTCATTGACCTCAACTTTGGCAGTGTGGATATACAGCAGAGGGTTTACTTCTAATTTTGCACCGGGGAAATTAAAGTGTCTGATATGACCTGTCTGATCACAGTATGAATGCTGATGCATAGCTCACAGGGACTAAATCTTTCAGAAATTGCTCACAAACTTTACATTTGGACTGAATCTACTCTTTTCTATACAATAAAAATTAATGAGGACATGTGCAATGGACTACATGCACATCTACTTCTCCATTCTACTTAATACGGCTCCTGTCCCTGAAAATGTCTGGATTTTTAAGTCTTCTTGCAGACCTTCATTTTAAGTGATCTTAAGTCAAATAGGTGGTTAAGGCACATTGAAAATATATATAACTGGAAACTAGCGATACTATTTGAAAACAGAGGTGCTTCACAAAGCTCAGTGCAAGTAGTCCATCAAGCTCAAAAAATGCACCATAAAAGCTGCAAAGCATTTTTCAGCACACCGTAATTGATTTTATAAAAAATGGATCGTTCCGGTCCTTGATTCTGATTGGCTGAGCCACGTTCTAAGCTGTTGTAAATTACTCTACAAATGTACACCTTTGTTTACTTTGTGTTTTGCTCGGAAACCACTTTGTTGCAAACACAACTGTTTCTGAGGAGCTACATTGTTTGTTGGAAGAATACTGTGTTTATTAATATCATTACACTTTATTTGCTCTGTTTTATTTTGTGAAACCTTACTACGTATATGGAATAACCGTTTTATAAAAGCAATAAGCCCCGTGAAACCGTGGTTTACAGTAAATTTATTCACTGTAAACCACGGCTTCTTGGGGCTTATTGCATTAATAAGCAAACGAGAGCTGCAGCTGATAACAAGATTTCCAGTTAATCTGTTTGTCACAAAAAGCTATCAAAAGACTTGCAATACAGCTCATATAGACTACTACCTTTTTGTATGAGGGGCCGTATAGGCCATAATTATTGAAAAGCCTCTAACAAACACTAGTGAAATGAAAAACGTTGATAAACCTTAGTGAAATACATTCATACGCATTACTGAAAACCTCTTACATACACGAGTGAAACGAAAAGATCAACCGTAGTGAATTTCATTCATATGCATAAGTGAAATAAGTAAAGATTTCAGTAGATGATGAGAGCTAATTTCACTTGAAACGGAAGCTGTGTCAACACTTCCGTTTAATTTGGCGCGTGTCACACAAACTCTTCAGTGGCGTTTAGTCGTAAGTTGTCTGAAGCTATTAGTAATATAAACAACATTTTACCGTCGTCAAGTACAATTCCGAAAGTGGGATAAAACAGCGCAATGTTACAGAGCTCACGCCGTGGTGAGCTGTCGTCGGCGCGGCTCTGAGACTGACTCGACAGCGCGGGGAGGATGTGTTCGCTAGCGCCACCGAACTGACAGCGTGGCACAAACATTTAGAGTTCATGTGTTTTTCCCTGCACATAACAATGATTTGAAGACCAGTATTAAGTTACAGCATTTCTTTGACTTATCATTACTACATGTAAATAGTGTTACCTGCTTTGAATAGGCCGGAAAGCTGCAAAGCACTTAATGATTTACAATACCTAGTCCTCTTAGAATTAACATTTTTTTATGGATTCATTCATCAAGGCATTAGGTAAATTTTACATTTAAAGAAATTTTTGCAACTGTAGCACATACTGAAAAAAAATGAGTAAAATGTACTGATAATTTTCTGTCAGGACATTATCCAATAATTTTCCATTGCAGAAATACGTACCATGGTTAATTTTCATAAGTTTTCCATTAACCCTAAAACGCAACGCAATGGAGTGCAAAATTAAAAATACCGCCATATACACTGTATTAATGAAATTGCAATGTGAAAGTTAAATAAGCCAACACTGACCGTTGCCTGGTCTTTAATTGCTAGAGGGGGAAAAATCCCATATAGCCTATTTAACAATGGGATTCAAATTTTAAATGGTAACTAGGCTTGCCGCGATAGACGGTTGACGGTAGGTGTTAAGCTGCAACACCGGTTACGTCACTTTTCCACCGCGGCAACGACCCCCACCGTCCTATTTTTTATAGTAATAAAAATAATTTAGTTCAGTAAAAGAACGCGGCTGCTCAATGCAGCGTGCCGAACGACAGTCGCATCACAGATCAGATTTCATTTCTCCAGTGAGGAGAGCGAGTCGAGCTGACTGACAAGAAGAGTGAGGTGAGACAGACAAGACGAGTGAGGTGAGACAGACAAGATTAACTTATTTCCAGTTTTGTATACCTATTTAAACTTTATGTAAGTTATTTTATATTAGGCATAGCCTGCCCTATAGCATGGTGTATTTTTATTCGTTTTGGTAATAAAAGTTCTATGTTTTATATATAGGCTAAAGTGAGTTTGACGTTGTATTTGGTTGTTGCATTCAAGCAATTGACGCTGAATTGCGCTAATTCAAAAGTGAAAGTAAAATGCGCAAGGCGCTTTTAAGCTATTTAAAAGCGATGGAAAGCGAGGAAAAGAGGGAACGCCCCCGCCGCCGCCGCCGCGGTGATACCGGTATTACCGGTGTTGTCACACCTCGATTAACCGGTGGGAAAATTTCCTCACCATCACAACACTAATGGTAACTGCTGAATAGAAGTTGAAAACAATAAAGTAGCCTACAAAATTAAACACTTAGGATGTGCTAAACAATGTTGGACGTGCTCCTCATGAGGACTACTAGCCTATTATTAAAGTATCTGCTGCATGCAGTTCTTCAAAATACAACTCTACTGTTTATGTGGTAGAAAGATAATAAGCAAAATAAATGTAATAATAAATTAATACTGATTTGCGTTGTTATTTGCAGGGAAAATCACACATTTCTGTGAAGTAGTATGAAGATGCTGATGTCCGCGCTGTCAGTTCGGTGGCGCTAAACTGACTAAACGCCATTGAAGAGTTTGTGTGACAAGCGCCAAATTAAACGGAAGTGTTGACACAGCTTCCGTTTCAAGTGAAATTAGCTCTCATCATCTACTGAAATCTTTACTTATTTCTCTTATGCATATGAATGAAATTCACTACGGTTGATCTTTTCGTTTCACTCGTGTATGTAAGAGGTTTTCAGTAATGCGTATGAATGGATTTCACTAAGGTTTATCAATGTTTTTCGTTTCACTAGTGTTTGTAAGAGGCTTTTCAATAATTATGGCCTATACGGCCCCTCATATGAATTGCGCTAATTCAAAAGTGAAAGTAAAATGCGCAAGGCGCTTTTAAGCTATTTAAAAGCGGAGGAAAAGAGGGAACGCCCCCGCCCCCGCGGCGATACCGGTATTACCGGTGTTGTCACACCTCGATTAACTGGTGGGAAAATTTCCTAACCATCACAACACTAACGGTAACTGCTGAATAGAAGTTGAAAACAAAGTAGCCTACAAAATTAAACACTTAGGATGTGCTAAACAATGTTGGACGTGCTCCTCATGAGGACTACAGTAGTCTATTATTAAAGTATCTGCTGCATGCAGTTCTTTAAAATACAACTCTACTGTTTATGTGGTAGAAAGATAATAAGCAAAATAAATGTAATAATAAATTAATACTGATTTGCGTTGTTATTTGCAGGGAAAATCACACATTTCTGTGAAGTAGTATGAAGATGCTGATGTCCGCGCTGTCAGTTCGGTGGCGCTAAACTGACTAAACGCCATTGAAGAGTTTGTGTGACACGCGCCAAATTAAACGGAAGTGTTGACACAGCTTCCGTTTCAAGTGAAATTAGCTCTCATCATCTACTGAAATCTTTACTTATTTCTCTTATGCATATGAATGAAATTCACTACGGTTGATCTTTTCGTTTCACTCGTGTATGTAAGAGGTTTTCAGTAATGCGTATGAATTAATTTCACTAAGGTTTATCAATGTTTTTCGTTTCACTAGTGTTTGTAAGAGGCTTTTCAATAATTATGGCCTATACGGCCCCTCATATTTTTGTGCTCATCAGCGGCCACCCCATTGACTTTCATTGTATGGAAAAGAGGTGCATGAACATTCTGCAACATTTCCTTTTGAGCTACATGGAAGAGAGGAAGTCCTTCTGGTTTGACAGCATGAGGGTGAGTAAACGATGACAGGATTTTCAGGATTTTTTAGCGAACCACTTTTAAATGAGTCACTTGTCATATATTATGCAACTTTTTGTATTACATAATTCTGATTAAGTATTTTCATTTACCTGAAATCAGAGGTCACTGTTTTATTACTGTATAGCTGAATGAACCCATTACTTCTCAAGGACACACAGCTGGGCTCTGGAGATGCTTTTGAGTGTACCTCATATCTGAATAAATTTAAAATGATTACAACAAATGTGTAGAAGATTAGTAAATGACGGTGAAATTGAAGTATTCCTTTACTTTATTAGTTAATTTCAGTGTTTTGTCTTACCTAGGGTCAGAGGTCATTGCAGGGGGGTAATCCATGGATTTATTACTCACTGACATACAAATGGAGTTTGGAGATGTTTTCAGAGTCTGGAGATGAATAGCACCATCCTCATCTCTCCCCTCATACATACAAACTCCAAGCAAAGAGGCTGGTTTAAGACATGTACAGTGAGTTCATAACAATGGAAAAAAGATGCTTTCGTTGCATGGAAACCATTTATTTGTCAGTTTCCTCAACAAAATGTGTTTTCAAAACAGTTTTTGGAAAACACTGGCTTAAAGGGATAGTTCACCCAAAAATGAAAATGTGATGTTTATCTGCTTACCCCCAGGGCATCCAAGATGTAGGTGACTTTGTTTCTTCAGTAGTACACAAACGAAGATTTTTAACTCAAACCGTTGCAGTCTGTCAATCATATAATGGAAGTGAATGGGAATCACGGCTTTGAGAGTCAAAAAACCATACACAAACAAAACCAAATTAAACCCTGTGGCTTGTGACGATACATCGATGTGTAAAGACACGAAACGATCGGTCTGTGCAAGAAACTGAACAGTATTTATATCGTTTTTTACCTCTGATGCACTGCGATGTCCGAACTGTTAGACAAAAAAAGTCGATTTGATTACATCAT